CCACCTCAGGGTCAACAGAGATCAGTGTGACCCCAATAGTGCCGTGGTGGAAAAGTGCTGGAGCCATGCTGGGTGCTGGATGGAGATGGATCCCATTGGAGCTTTGTGGTCCCAGCTCTGGGCACTGAGCAGGGCTCTGGGCTTTGTTACCTGTGGGTCCAACTCTGTAGCCTCTGGGGGCTCAGCACAGCAGTGCATGTTCCCGTTAAACCAAGCACACAGCCCAGCCAGGCATGCTCATCCCACGAGCAGCATGAGGCTTTCCACAGTGCCAGCACTTTTCTCCTGGTTCCTGAAACATCTCAAAGATCTCTGGGAGCGACCTGGGACACCAGGAGTGGGACCTGGTGTGGGTGTGACAGGCAGCCAGGTGGTTCTGTGTCAGCTCTTCCCAAGCAGAAGATGTAATTCAAGAGGAGGATGAAGCAATCCTCACTTTCCCCTCAATAAATACCATCAAACACTGCTCCTGGTTTTAATTGTAATGGAGCAGCAGCAGGTCATCTACAGGGGTGGCAAAGCAGAGCAGAGCACAATCCCGACACTGGGAACAGGCGTGGGAAGGGTAATGGTTAATCAGGGACAGCCAGCCTTCATTTGGATCCTTCCGTGGCTGGGAAAACAGGAGCCAGACGCTCTGCCCGTTAATCAGAGTCTGCACAGAAGGCAGAGGAAGGCCGGCTCTGTCTGCAGTGCCTGCGGGATCCATCCCGTTCCAGAGCCGTGCACATCAAAGGCAGGATGCCCCGAGGTCACTGACCCGCTGTGAGGACAGCCAGGTCCCAGAGATCCATTCATACCTGGGAATGCGCCGTTGGAGTGGGTCCTGCTCTGCAAGCACGGCCCCTCTGCCACCCTGTGCACCCGGCAAGCCGGGGAACCACAGCAGAAATTCATCCCAGCACAAGGAACGATCTCCAGCGCCGCGCCTGGAATGACAAATCATGAAGATATAATTAAACTTTCCAATAACATTTTAATTTCCAGTCCCCTCCTGCTTCCCCTGCTGCCCATCTGAGGGGTGTTGGGTGTGAGGGGTGGCTCTGGGAGGTTTGCAGTGGCAGCAGGCATTGCCATAGAGCCTGCAGTAATCAATTGCTTAATTAGCCAGCATTCATTCATTTATCCCTCCTGTCATTCGCTGGACAGTGAGGTTGGCTGCAGCAGGGGGCTTGTAGTGAGTCTGGATTATGGGTGCAATTCCAGGAAAGGAACCTGCAGCTCTCCGTGAACCCTCACTCCTCACAGGAACAGGGCCCAGCTCCCACTTCTCCATAAACATGGCTCTATTCCTAAACAATGTTTGGAGAGGGCAAATCTTGCCCTGTGTTCATGGAAAATGAGCTGAGCCTTGCCACACTCCCTTTTCCCTGGTGGTGAGATCCCAGCAGACATCCTAGCCAGATGTCAGGGAGCTGTTGGGAAAATCACTCAAAGGATGTGAAAGGTTCTTAGAGCAGCTGCACTGCCCTAAAACTTTCCCATCCTGCTGTTCACCTTCCTGCGATAATTACGGAGAGAAGAAAAAATCCCCCATTCTCCTCTGCTGCCTTGCAAACACCCCAGGTCCTTACCCGGGATACGGCACTCCTTTGTTCCCCATTTGTGTATTTGTCACATCCATAAACCTCATTAAAATTAGTTCATTCCAGTGAGAGGAGAAACTAGCGCTCCACACAGCGGAGGGTGATGCTCACACCCTCCTGAGCGGCTCTGGGAGAGAGGCACCCACCGCGGGAGCCAGGCCGGGGAGCTGGCACTGGCACCGCGTCCCCGCCGATGGCATCGGAAATTCCTCTGCATTCCTGTGATGGTCCCAGCTCTGGGCACCCCCGGAGGGCAGCGGGGCTCGATGTGCTCTGTGCGTCCCTACAAACGCCCCTCAGGACTTGGCCTTGAGGACAAGACGCTCCGGCCGCCTCTGCCCCTTGCTCCTCATGGGCCAGGTCCCCTCTGCAGGAAGATTTAACCCCTGCGGGGAGGGAGCCGCGGGCACAGCCCTGTCCCGGCCAGGAGGGGCAGCTCCGGTGCCATATGTCACCCGCTGGCACGGGCACCGCCGGGCCAGGTGACAGATGGCAGGTGGAGCAGGGCTGCTCCTCCCGGCGGCACAGCCACGTGCCAGGCACAGCGGCCAATTCCAGTCGGGAGAGGGGAGGAGAGGGATCTACGGGCCCCGAGCAGCGAGTCCTACTGCCAGGGAATTCGCTCCTGCCCCCTGCAGGGTTGGTTATTCACATTGCACAGGGATTGAATCCCGGACTGCAGAGCCTGGTGCCTCCCGGGGCTTGGAAATGGGGAATGGAATGGGGTGGGATGGGGTGGGATGGGATGGGGTGAGATGGGGTGGGGTCCTGCAGAGGTTGAAGACTCAGGCTCCAGCACAGCTGAGCCGGGACAGAGCAGGGGTTTGCTGGTGGTCACTTGTCCCCATCAGCCGAGGGATAAGGGGTGGGAGCAGCTCCCCAGCTGTTCCCCTGCTCCTCTCCTCCCTTTCCGCGTTTTCTTGCTGCAGGGATTGCACAGACACCGCTTCCATCCCACCCTTCATTATCTCTGTCTGCTGGAACAGCACACAGGGAAATGTGATTAAAGCCCTCTCGCAGGGAGCTTCTCAGCCTGTGGAGGGCGGTGAGCTCGCTTCTGCCCGGAGAGCGTCCCTGATGCTGCCGGGATGTCTGCAGCACAGCAGGGCTGTGGCTCCTGCTGCCATCACCCCATGGTGCCCACCAGAGCCCGAGGAGAGGCCGGCTGGGATGTGACATCTGCTGGTGGCGTGTCTGGGGAGCAGGCGGGACAGGAGGAAGGGGTGTGGGTCAGGAGGAACCTGCGGGTGGAGCCAGCGGGGCCAGCGCCGGGCTCCCGTCAGCGCTGCTCTGTCAGAAGGTTTGCCACTGAAATGGGCTGTTCTGACGTTAATTGGCTTTGACCCATCTGGGCCGACGCTATCACATCTTGGAGACTGAGCGGCCCCGAGTTGCTGGGGTGGATGGGAGGGACAACCCTGTCACCGTGTGAAGAAAGGAGGATAGAGGCAGAGGCGTCAGGCGCTCAGACTGACCCTGTTGGGACCACTGCGCTGGTGAAGGCGAAGAGAATCCGCCTTGGCAAGGCGTTTTGGAGCTGCCTCGGGACCAGGAGAAGCTGGGTACCATTACTGTGTCCTATAGGGATTTTCTCGGTGTTGTCCGTGAGTGTCAGCCTTCCTGCCCCTGTGGAAGGAACATCTTGCTGGCACAGTGGTGGGAACCTCAGCTCTGAGCCTTGCAGCTCTCTTTCCCTCTTCAAAGGAGCCAGAATTCCCTGTCTCCACCCCCAGACACCACATAAAATATCTGCTTTTTCCATTCCGCAGTAATGGTGTAATTTAGGATGGAAAAATGGGGAGAGGAAGTGCTGAGCCTGCACCAGCTGATGCCAGGGGAGATACCCGGAGCTGCCTGACTGTAAAACATTCCCAGATCCTGAGAGAGGCTGGAGGTTGTGATGCAACAACAGCATCACAGGGAGGAAAGGGCCCCCGGACGCCGTCCCAGGGAAAGACCCCACACTGGGCATCAGCAGAGGCTTTGGGTTCCTGCAGCAGGAGCCCAGATCCCTCACCCCCATCCCTCTGCGTTCTGGTGCTCAGGCTGTAAAAATCCTGGGGCACCTTCCTAACCCATTTTTCAGCTGGGAAGACAGGACAAGGGCTGCAGGGCTGCAAAGGAGCAGAAGTTTTGCGTGATCCAACAGGGAGTGAGGCTCTCCTGACCCTGCTCTGGCAAGGTGAAACATGGACGGGTGGAAAAGGGCTGGGAGGCGCGGGATGTCCGATCAGGGCTGCCAGCCCAGTGCAGGACTGCCCTGGGGCTCTGCCCATGGCAGACAGTGGCTGTGTGTCCCGTGTGGGACCACGGCTCCGACCGTCCCCGTGGCTCGGGTCCAGGTCCAGGACAGGGAAACCTGGATGAGGAAGATGCCCCTGCCCTCAGGGAGTCACGGGACGTTCCCTAAGCAGGTTTCACATCCTCAGGAGCATCAGTAGATTCTCTTTATTCCACACTAAGATGCCCCAGAGCTATTAAATCAATCGAGTGCCCTTCAAACCCGAGAGGTGCCAGCGTGGGCAGAGCTGCCCTTTGGGGGCTCAGCGGCCCGGACAGAAGGGGAGCGTCACCCCAGCTCCTCTCCGGGCTCTGCAGAGCTTGGGGGGCACAGAGCAGCCAGGCAGAGGGGTTCCCCGGCTGAGACAGGCTCCTGCTATGCTGTCAGTGCTGGTCCGGCTCACCCGGCTGTGCCCCGGGCTGCACTGCCCCAGGGGCTGTTCAAACCTGCCCCAGTCCCGAGTGTCCCGAATCCCAGGGACTGGGACAGCAGAGATGGGGGTGCCGGGGTGGGAGCCGGAGGCTGGAAGGGCTGCGGGAGCGGCGCTGGGGCTGCGGGAATTCTGGGGAGCTGCCATGCCATGCCAGGAGATCCTGGGGGATGCGGGGGCCATGCCAGGGGACGCCGAGGTGATGTCGGGCCGATGCCAGGGATGCTGGAGCTACGCTGGGGCCGAGTCACGGGACTCGAGGTGATGCCAGGTGACGCTGGGCGTGCCAGAGGGATGCCGGGGGGACGCCAGGTGATGCCAAGGCCATGTCGAGGGATGCTGAGGGATGCCGGGGGAATGCCGGGGCCACACCCAGGGGTGCCGGGGGGAAGTCAGGGGATGCAGGGGGGGGTGCCCGGCTCCAGGCTAGCCCCAAGACCCACCCCCTCCCCGGAGAGCCCGCCGGGGCGGGCGGCTTCGGACTACATTTCCCATGGCCGCCGCGGCCGGGGGCGGTGCGGGGCGGCGCGGGGGGCGCGGAGCGCAGGCGGAGGCGCGGAGAGGCGCAGGGGCGGCGGGGCCCGCTCGGCCCGGCTCGGCTCGGCTCGGCCCGGCCCGGCTCGGCGCCGGGCGGGGATGCGGGAGGGGCGGCCCGCGACCCCCGGCCCCGCTGCCCGCCCGCACTGTCCGCACCGCCGCCACCATGAAGAAGCAATTCAACCGCATGCGCCAGCTCGCCAACCAGACCGTGGGCAGGTAGGGATGGGATGGGATGGGATGGGATGGGATAATGGGATTATGGGATGGGATTGGGATGGGGGTGAGGATGGGATTGGGATGGGGTGAGGGTGGGGACGGACCCAGCCCTGCCCAGCCCTGCCCAGCCCTGCCCACAGTCCCCATCTCACGCCCTGCAGGCTCCCGCCCGCTCCGCCGCGGCTGCACCTGCCCGTTCCCAGCTCCCTGCCCGCTCCCTGCTAGTCCCACCGCCCCAATCCCGTGTGTCCTGCCTGCCCCACTGCCCTGATTCTGCCCCCTACCCATGTCCTGCCTGCACTCTGGCAGCCTCACTGCCCTCATCCCACACTCTGCCCACTCCCTGCCCGCTCCCTGCCTGCCCCTCCGCCCCTCCTCCCTTCCTGCCCCAGTGCCCTGATGCTGCACCTGTGCCCCTGCCACCTCCTGCCTGCCCCGCTGCTCCTGCTCTGTGCCTGCTTGTCCCACTGGTCCTAATTCTACTCACTTCCTGCTCCCTGCCTTCCCCACAGCCTTCCTGCTCCCTGCCTGAGCCCTGACACCCTCTGTCCTCACCGTGCCCGTGCCTCTCTCTGCCCTTCCTGCCCCACTCCCTGTTCTCTGCCTGCCCCACTGTCCCCGTACCCACCCCTTTGGTACTTCTTTCCCATCCCCTGCCTGCTCCCCTGCCAGTTAACCCCTGCCTGTCCCCCTACACCTGCCCTGCCCCACTCCCTGCCCCCTTCACCCACTGCTCCCTGCCTGTCCCCCTGTCCTTCTCGTCCCCTCTGTCCCAGGGCTGCGGGGACACTCCCCGGGCCCCCCAGCGCCTGTGCTGTGGGGTGCCCCACTGCCGTGTCCCCCAGCACCCCTGGGTGGCCCTGCTGCCCGTGGGGCCGAGGGCACTCTGGGGCTCTGGAGCCGGAGCCGTGCCCACGGGAATGCCGTGTGCGCCAGTGCATGGCCAGGCCTGGGTTTGATGGTGGCTGTTGTGTAATTCCTGGAGATTTTGCAGCGGGGGGTGGGGGGGGCGGGAAGAGGATTTATTTATTTTCCCTTCCCATCGCGGCACTGGGGCACTCACAGCTGGAGCTGCTGCTCCGCATCCCCTCGGCATCCCCAGGGCTCCTGCTGGCATCGCCGTGTCCCCCTGTGTCCCCCATGGCACCGGGGGAGCGTCCTGCTGGCTCGGACTCCCTGGGCAGGCTGGGGGTGCTGCCCCACGGCCCGGAGCGAGCGGGATGGCAGCGGCGCCGGCCCGGGGCTGCGGGAATGCTGGGCAGGTACGGCAGCGTGGGGAGGGAACGCGGCTTGGGAGCTCCGGGGCTCTAGGGTGGGAATCCGGCACGGCAGTGGTGTGGGAATGTGGAGTGGGAGCATGGGGTGTGTGTGGTGCCAGAGTGTGCTGTGGGGTCGTGGCACAGGGAAGGTGGCGCTGGGATCGTGGTCTGGGAAGGTGGCACAGGGAAAGCGGTGCCAGAGTGTGCTGTGGGGTCGTGGCACAGGGAAGGTGGCGCTGGGATCGTGCTGTGGGAATGTGGTGCGGGAGCGCCGGGAGCCCGGCAGTGCCTCCCGTGGGGGAGCGGCAGAGGGAGGCTGTCCCGGGGACAGAAGGTGAGATTTTCCCGTGGCATTTTCGCCGGGCCAGGTTCCCTTTCCGGACCCTCCGAGGGAGTTGGACACATTCCCACCCTCTGGGAATGGGGACTGCACGGGGCAGTGCCCCCAGGTCCCTCGCATGGCATGGGAGACGTGACCCGGGCACTGCTTCCAACCCTGGCTCCAAAATGGTGGCTCTGACAGGGCCAGGAGCGTCCTCCTTCCCACATCCCGCTGGAGCATCCCGCTGTGTCCTCCCGCAGCGCTGCGAATGGGGCCGGGGGCTCGGATAAACTCCTAATAATCCTCTTAGAAGATATGCTGGGTAGCTGGGAGGCTCTGGAGGTGCCCTGGGCCAGCGAGGGGATGCGGCCCCTCTTCCCTGGGATGGGCACCTGGAGCATCCTCAGGGCTTGGCTGGAGCTTGCAGAGCATCCTCGTTCTCATCCCCGCTCCGCTGGTCCCCACCTCAATGTGTTCATCCTTCTTGCACTGTGGAGTCCTGAGCAGGCCTCCCCAGACAGCCAGGAATCAGGAATAATAGATAAGATAAAGGAATAATAGATGAAAATAGGGAATAATAGATTGAAACAGGGAATTATAGATGGAAATAAGGAATAATAAATGGAAATAGGGAAAACCAAAAGGAAGTGGGAAATAATGCATGGAAATGTGGAATAATACATAGAAATGAGGGCTGATTAATGGAACTGAGGAATAATAAATTGAAATAAGGAATAATAAATGGAAATAAGGAATAACAGATGGAAATAGGGAAAACCAAAAGGAAGTGGGAAATAATGCATGGAAGTGTGGAATAATACATAGAAATGAGGGATGATTAATGGAACTGAGAAATAATTAATGGAAATAAGGAATAATAAATGGAAATAAGAAATAAGAGTAGAACCCTGGTTTTGTCTCCCTGCAAGAGGCTCACTGGGGGACAAGCACCACAACCTTTGGAGCTCTGAGGGGTGTACCCTCCTCCTTGTCACCAAATCCCAGTGGGGTCTCCCTGCAGTGCCAGTGCCCTGAGTCTGGGAATGGGGATCACCGGGCTGGATCCCGTCCCAGGCTCAGGGCTGTGATCACTTGAGGGTTGTCTCCTGGGGGCATTGCTTCATTCCAGGACACTGGGGCAGCAAGGACAGCAGGGACATCTGCCCAGCCACCCTGAGAAGTGTGCAGAGAGGTGTCTCAGCCCCTGGTGGCTTTTCTTGCTTCAGGTGGCGTGGTTCCCATAAGAAAGGGAAGGAGAGAGGGGACTGAAGAGAAACCCCTCTCCATATGTCAAAAGGAGCCAGAGGGGACAAGTGGGAGCAGCCCTTTGTCCCTGAGAGGAGGTCACACAGAGGGACCGAGGGACAGGAGACTCAGAGCTTGGGTCAAGCTCAAGGTCAGGTTTAGGGCCAGGGTTGGGTTGTACTTAGGGTTAAAGTAAGGCTTAGGGTCAGGCTTAGGGTTAAGGTCAAGGTTAAGGCCAGAATCAGTTCAGGATAAGGATCAGAACCAGGGAATTATTGGGTCAGGGTAGGATCAAGGCTGGGGTTAGGGCCAGGGTCAGGTGAGGAAGTAACTGTATGCTTTCCAAATCTGATCTGGAACTCTGTGCCCTGGGTGCCACCACTGAGACCCTCCCTGCTCCACTTGGATGCTGGGAGCCAGCACGGAGCCCCTGTTCCCACTGGGAAGAGCAGCAGCTCCCACAGGAGCTGGAGTGAGAGATTGGAACCTCTGCTGGGCCCTGAACATGGGGTTTTTTTTGTTGTTGTGGGTTTTGTTGTTGTTGTTTTGTTTTTTGTTTTTGTTTTTTTTTTACTTTGGGTTTGGGTTCTTTTTGTCATTTCACTTGACAGAAAGAACTGGGGATGCTCAGCCCCACGTTTGGTACCCAACTTTGGGAAGAGTTCCTGTGCCAGAACGTGAGGGGCAAGAATATTCATCTCTATGGGGTGGAAAAGGGGAAGGGAAACCAATGAGTGGGTGTAGAACATTCTGAGGAGGTTTCCTGCAAAGTGCTTTTATCTTTAATAGTGTTTGTCCATCCCATTTGAGAGGTCCTGCCCTTACTCCAGGGGACAATTGTCCAGTGGGATAATGGCACCAGGTGTCACCTCAGTCACTCCAGCTGCCGAGCAGCCCTGGGAATTTCCCAGAATCAGCTCCAGAGGGATTTTTTCCCCTGGGCATTAAATCAGGCACTTGCAGCCGCTGCAGTGACACACTGGGTTCCCCGGCAGCACAGAGGGAATGGAGGACACCGGGAATGGTGGCAGAAGCTTGGAGGGGTTGGATTTTTCTCGTCCTCGACCTTTCTGAGCATTCCACGCTGTGTCCCCCATCCTGGGGGCATTTGGGGCTGGATGTCACCTCGGTGGCTCTCAGGGAGATGCTTTTCCAAGCTCCAGGACGGCTGCATATCCAGGCAAACCCTTTGAACACCGAGGGTTTATTCCTGGTGCTGCAGGAATATCCGGCAAGAAATAAGGACATTTTCTTCTGCTTGCACGAAATAAGGGCAGAGGGAAATAAAAGCACCGCCTGGGATTTTCCCACTGGGATTTGCGGGAGGGAACAACACCCTATAAATAGTTGGGTTCCCCATCTGCACTTCGGGGTGCTGGTGACTCCCGGTCAGGAGAACCCCCCGGCATTTCGGCTCTGGAGCCGGCAGATCCCGGCAGCCCCTGGGATATTTTTATCCTCCTCGCAAAGAGGCAGCACTGACAACCTGGAATATTCATGGAGCGGGCTGAGGGTTTTGTCCCTGCTCCAGCAGCCTCAGGGCTCTGCGCTCTGCAGGGGCCTCTGCTCGGCTTCTAAATCGGGCTGGAAGCGTGGTCAGGATGCGACCCCGGGGAGGGAAACGCCAGGAGCAGAGGGCCCCGAGCATCCCGTGCCAAAGAGATGCCAGCACAGGGCTCGCCGCCGGGAAGGCGGCAGGAGATGAGGCAAGAGGAGATGAGGGCAAGAGGCTTTTCTGCCTTGCAGACTCCGTCCCCCATTTTGCTTTGCTTCGTTGGGTTTTCCCAGCGGTAGGCAGGATGGAGGGAAGCTGCTCCAGCCCTCCCCGCCTGTTCCTCTCGCTGCTCCAGCCTAGCTCCAGGGTGGGCAGCGCTCCCCTCAGCGCAGCTCTGGCACCCGGGCTGTCGCACCGTGTCACCCGCGGCCAGGACACGCCGGGGACGCGCCGGAGGAGGCGCCGGCGGGGCCGTGTCCCCACGTCGCGCTGGATGCTGCAGTCGGAGTCGTTTCCCGGGGGAGCTGAGCAGCGATTTGAGGATATCAATATTTGATGTTTTGCTTCTTGTCTGCTAAAAAGGCACGGGGAAAAAGCGGCGGCTCTGCTGGGGCTCGGCGGGTGCCGGGTTTGAGCCGCCGGGATCTGTGTCCCCAGGGAGAGCTCAGGTGGTGGCAGAAGTGGGGACAGCGTGACCTCGGATCCGAATCCAGCCTGGATCACGGAGCTCAGCGCTTCCAGGGCTGCGGGTGACACTGAGGGGCTTCCTCCCCACTCTGGCAAACGCAGAGGGTGCACTGTGCTTTACCTAGGGACTGTGGATGAACCTCACTCCCCAGCCTCCCCTCTGCGCTTTGGGGGCTCGAGCACCTGGAATTTTCTCCCAGGCACCAGAGGGAGATGAGCAGGATCGGGATGGAGCCGGGCACTGTCGCTGTGTCTGTGTGGGATGTGGGACAGACCCACGATGGGAATCAATGCTGCTGGCACGGGACGGCCTTGGCTGGGTGTTTGTGCCTCCCTCTCCTGCAGTGGAGCTATTTTTAGGCTGGAGCAAGGAGAAAGCGTTGGTAATTAAATACTGATTAAATATGTATGGGCAGGCTGCAGCGAGGAGTGGCTGGGGCTGGGGTCAGAGGGGTGTTAAGGCAGAAGATGGAGGTGAGAAGCTTTGTGGGGCACCGTGGACATGCTGTGCCTCTGGAGATGCATCCCTGCTCCTGCTGGAGATTCATCTCTGCTCCTGCTGGAGATGCATCCCTGCTCCTGCTGTCCCCACACTGGGTGTGATGCTTTCCCATTGAAATCGCCATGAGATCCTTGTGGTGCTCAGAGTTTTGCAGGCTCAGGATCAAATCCAAGGCCGGCAGCTCCCTGTCTGGGTCACCAGAGCACCAGAGAGGGATGGTGGCAGGGGACAGTGATGGATGGTCCAGCCAGGCAGAGATGCTGGCACCAGGAGATGCTCCAGGGAAGCACTGGCTCTGCTGCACCTCCCTAGGTCAAGGCTTTGGAAACTCATGTATTTATTTGGGAATCAACATAATTTGCTTGATTGGTGTTGATTTCTGCTGGCAGCAATGAACTTGTGCAGCAGCAAAAGCTCGAGCACTCCGTGGCTGCGACCCCACTCGTTGGCTTTAGCTCTCCATGGTCATTGTCCCTTTTCCCCAGCTGCCTGAAGGGACAGAGTCCGACTGCTGCCTGGGCAGGGCTTGGGTTTGTGCTGGGGAAAACGGCTCGGGGTGGAAAGGGGAAGGGGAGGGGCAGGGGAGGAGCAGGATTTTATTTGCCAAAAGGAAAAGCGTTGGGAGCTAGGGATGCTGACTGCCTCTCCAGGGGATGCTCCCTTGGGATGCATGTAACTCATACAGGATGAAGTTTTGGGGAATTAGGGACCAGACAGGGAAACTGGAGGGTCCCTGCACCCGTCTCCTGGGAGGCATAGGGATCATCACCCGTCCTTAAGTGGGATTGATTGGAGCAGCCCGTTTGCTTATCCCCATCCATAAAATGCTGCAGCCTGGTTGTTCCCCCTTTTTAAAGCCAAATTCCTCCCTGGCAGGCTCCCCAGCCCACTGGAGCATCCTGGGATGTGAAGGGCTGGCACAGGGGGATGCTCTCCAGTGAAACCACGGGGATTTCTCACACTGAGGATGTGCTTTAAAACAGATCAAGGCCAGATTTTTGTTTTTCTCTTTGAAATGTTGTTTTCTGCTTCTCAAACACACTTCAGAGCATAACATGGGTAGGGATGTGGCTACTGGGAGAGAGACCTGCCCATGAGACCTGGGATGTGCAAATCCCACCCACCTCCTAGCTGGGTGAGGAGAAAACAGGAAAAAAAATCTCTTTTTCTGTTCAAGTGAGGAAGTGATTCCTGGGGAGTGAGCAGCAGCAATGTGCCAGCGGTGCCTCATTCCCTGCCACCTCCCACTCCTTTGGGATGCTAAAAATATCCCGAGCTGGGGATGGACATCGTGGCTGTGCCCGTGGATATTTGTTGCTTTTCTCCCTGTTTGTGCTAATTCTGTGTCACTTCCAATCCTTTCTAAATGAGAGTGAAGGTGATTCCCAGAGGAGGATGAGAAGCTGCTCAACTCTTGCTCCCAGGTGGGCAGTGCTCATTGGAGAGGTTCTGATCTGTTCATTTCAATAACTGGTTTTAAAAAATAAAATAAAGAGGGTTTGATTAATTCTTTAAAATTTATTTTTAAACCACCTTAAATCAGGTGCCCAAATTAAATTTTGTGCCCAAAGCAGATTTAATTAGGTTGGTTTGGGCAGGCTGTGGCACAGGGTGCCCAGAGCAGCTGTGGCTGCCCCTGGATCCCTGGCAGTGCCCAAGGCCAGGTTGGACACTGGGGCTTGGAGCAGCCTGGGACAGTGGAAAGTGTCCCTGCCATGGCAAGAATGGCACTGGATGGGGTCTAAGTTCCCTTCCAATGCAAACCATTCCATGATTCTGTGATTTGCACTTTCTGCAAGGCTTTGGATGAGATGTACTTGTGCATGAGCTGCTCCTGTGCCACACTCAGGAGTGTGTGTTTCCCTGTGTTTTCTCCTTATTTCCACTACTTCAACACTTCCCTCCTCTCTCCAATCCAGCTTGGATGGCAGGAAGGGACCAGGCTCAGGAAATAAATGTGTTGTTTTCAGGATGACAGCACCAAGCTCTCGCTGTCCCCTGATGAACCTTTAGAGACCAATTGGCTGAATCACAGCTGTGATTCAAATTGACAGAGTTCGTTTTTCCAAGTGAGAGGATGCACTGAAGTTGTTAAAAACCCTGGGAAAAGGAATAAATGATCTGGATGTGATGGTTTAAATGAGCCTGAGCAGCTGTGGTGCAGGGGCCCTGGGCTCTGCATGCTGTGGGTCCCTGGGCCGAGGAGGGCGGGTTTGTGTCTCCTGCATCCCAGCGCTCCTCCCTCGGGCAGGCAGCGGCTGCCGCGGGCTCTGCAGCCATGAATCCGTCTCCAGTGAGCAGCAGCAAAGGCTCTGGCGAGGCCCCGGGCAGCAGCTGCCTCCTCACATCCCATGCCTGCCTCTGTCTGAGGAGGCTCAGCCCATTCCTGTGCAGAATGCACCTCTCTCTGAGCACTGCTTCCTTCTGGGAATCTTGCATCCCTGTTTTCCTGGGAATAATGGAAAAATAAGAGAGAGATGAGAAGCAGGCCCTGATTGATGTGGTACCTGGCAGTGAGCCATGGAGATGCTCCATTACTTCCTTCTCCAGGAGATAAGGTGATGGCTGATGAGAGCAGAGATTCTTAAATCCCCCCCTGCATCCCAATGGAAAAGCACATCCCCGGGTCCATGGTGTGCACAGGGCCTGCTGCGTGTCCCAGACCCTTCACCAATGGTTCCTCTCCTGTCTTGTCTTGCAGAGCCGAGAAGACCGAGGTGTTGAGCGAAGATCTACTGCAGGTGAGGTTCCCTCAGAGCCATCCCAGGGTGCCCATGGGTGCCTGGGCACCTCCCGTGGGGGCTGCATCCATCAGCAGCTCCCTGGTGGTGCCACAGCGTCCCAGCAATCCCAGGGATCCCTGGGAGCCAGTGATCCTGCAGTGCTGGTATACTCCAGTGATGGGATCCCTGGGGTGATGGGATACTCCAGTGATGGGATACTCCAGTGATGGGATACTCCAGTTATGGGACACTCCAGTGATGGGATCCCTGGAATGATGGGGGGTGGGATATTCCAGTGATGGGATACTCCAGTCACAGGACACTCCTGTGATGGGATCCCTGGGGTGATGGGGGATGGGACAATCCAGTGATGGGATCCCTGGGGTGATGGGATACTCCAGTGATGGGATATTCCAGTGATGGGATATTCCAGTGATGGGACAATCCAGTGATGGGATACTCCAGTAATGGGATCCCCAGTGATGGGATCCCTGGGGTGATGGGGGGTGGGATATTCCAGTAATGGGATCCCCAGTGATGGGATCCCTGGGGTGATGGGGGGTGGGATATTCCAGTAATGGGATCCCCAGGGATGGGATCCCTGGGGTGATCCAGTGATGGGATACTCCAGTCATGGGATACTCCAGTCATGGGATACTCCATTAATGGGATCCCTGAGGTGATGGGTGATTGGACAATCCAGTGATGGGATACTCCAGTAATGGGATCCCCAGTGAGGGGATACTCCAGTGATGGGATCCCTGGTGATGGGATCCC